GAGGATCTTGAGAAACAAAGCCTCCTCTCACTGCTGGGGCAGTGTTAACTATTGTGGTCTCGAATTATCTCCTCCTTGTCAGGACCTTGAGACACAACCCCTGCCTTCACTGCTGTGGCAATGTTAATCACTGCAGACTGGAATTAACTCCTTCCTGCCTGAGCTATGGGATCTCTCCTTGGGACCACCGCTGCAAGAGTAAAGCAGTCATTTGCAGTCACTCAAACTCGTTTCTTCAGTGCTGAAGAGTGCTCAAGGCAGCTAGTCTGCCATTGCGGGTGTTCAGCCACCCCCCCCAACCCCCCATGAACGCTGGTGCGATCGTCATAGCCATGATGGAGGAGAGTTGAACCCTGCAGCAGCCAAAAGCTAAAAGGACTGCGACTGTGTGAAGAGAACTGCAACTGGCCTAGCGACTCCACCTCCATCTTCCCCTGAAGGGTATAAATTAGGAAAGACAGGCCAGGAAGTGGAGTGCAACTCCAGGTGGTGGAGTTGCACTTTATGTGAGGGAGCAACTGGAATGTACTAAGCTCTGCCTAGGGGTGGATGAAGAGCAAGTTGAGAGCTTATGGGTAAAGATTAAAGGGTAGGCTAACATGGGTGACACAGTTGTGGGGATTTACTACAGGCCACCTGAAAGGAGCTGGATCCCTCATCCCTAGCAGTCCATGATCCTTCAGAAGCCCTGTGGTAGAAAAAGTTCCATGTGACAGCAAGTAGAAAGTGCTCTTGCCTCATCAGGGTCACATATACTCTTCACTGACCCTTCAAAAAAGACTGGGTGAAGTTTCTTTGTAACCAGTAAAGGAAATGGGAATCATCAGATGTCACAGAACTACCTGGATAGTAATTGCTGCTGGCAGAGGCTTGTGACTGAGAAGGGTACTCTGCGATCAAAGATGCCTACACATTTCACGACTATTTTTCTGTTAATTTCCATTTTGTTGTACAGTGTAAGGCATCTGCTGAATTCATAGTTCCTTGTAGATAGATATAGTTACCAGATGTGGCAGGGCAGTTGCTCCTTCAGCTCCACCCCACAGCAGTGCAGAACACAGCAGCTGTCCCTGCTCTTCCCTTCCTCTACCTTCCCCCTTCCACAGATCCTATCATTCAGTAAGGATAGGCAGTGATTACTCTTTAGCTCTGTAAACTTTCCTCTAAGCAGCCCAGGTAAGACTTCTTACCACTTCAGACTCATGCTTTCTCAGGGAAGTGGCATCAAACATCCTCAGATGGCATTACTTATACCTAGTTTTCCTGTAATTGATGAGCTTAATCTTATAAAAATAAATTGAATAACAAATAGGCCTGTTCGTGCTCCAAATCTGCTTCCTGCATCCAAGATCCAGCAACAGCTGCTGAAGGCTCTGTGCCCCAAAGAGCCTTACTTTTAGACATCTGCCAGGACTCCTGCTGCTCAGGTAGCAGCTACTGGATTGCTGTGAATTATACTCTGCTGTCTTATGGAAGCCTGCAACTGCTGCTGGTTTTCCTTAAAACACCAGCTGTAAATGCTGTTTATGCAGCTAAACCACATTGCTGAGGCTGGAGTCCCCAGAGAACGGCAGAGGGAGAGCTGGAGCAGACGCTTACATAGTTGTTCTGAGATACAGTCTCTCTGCCCATGAACTGCTCCCCAAAGGTGCATGCTGTACAAGGCACTTATGATCATAGGTACTCTCAGAGTTACCTACATGGGTCACATCAGCATGTTTGCTGTGCAAAGGACATACCTTTCCTATTCCAGGCACAACCAGGACTCTTAGAAGTGCGTGCTAGTCCTCTGTTGTTCAATGCAATGTTTAGGGTCACTGTAGTGAGGAAAAAATGCTAAATGCAGTAGACAGGGAAGTGGAAGAATAACATGTGCTTAGATGCACTGTGTGTTCAGTCCGTAACAACGGTATCTTCTTTATAGAGTGTTATTAGCATAAGCCAATAAAATGCTATTTGCAGTGCACAAAGCATAGCTGAATCAAAGTTGCTATTGGAAATATTGGTGTAAGTTATTTTCTGGGTGTCTTGTTATCTTCCTACTTATTCAGTAAAATACTATGTGTTTTAGACACTTAGCAATTGTTATAGAACAGTTAGTGAAGCAGATAACAGATACTTCATTTGAAGATGTGCTCCTTGACCTCTCTAGCTTGCAGTATTTCAGTAGCTGAGCAATGGGCTATTTATCCTTAATATCCTCCTCAATATCATTGATACATGACTGAATTCAGCCACCATGATTTCTGCTTTTGAAAATTGGGTTTCTCTTGTCCTTTCCAATTCTCTCTACGCGTCAACAAAGCAGTAACTATCATGTATCAAACTACAACTTATCCTAGTTTAGCCTGTTCTTTTGGGAAATGGCCATATCTGCATAGCTATACTGGCTTCATTAAACAGGCAGCTCTGGATCATGTATTTGTGGATCAGTTAATGAAGAGACCTCATACCGGCTCTGCATGAGTGTGGCTGTGCCTCCTCAGCAGTGTGCTGTGTGGTGACTGCCAGTGGCAGTTTAGCTGTCTCTACACTACTTCTGAGCTGATAAGCAAAATTTGAAATCCCTTAAGAAAGAAAGTTTCAGGTTAGAGATCAACACTGGCCTTTTAAAAGTAAGCTAATATCAACATATACTTTTGGAAACATTCTTTTTTTGCATTTTTTATAGATTGCCCAAGTAGTAATGCCTATAGTTTAATTCTCAGTTCAAAAATTCACTATTTCTAATGAGGGAATGAGGAAAAAAAAGTTCATTTTAAGTTATGTTAAAGTATATCCACAGCCATTTCACTGAAACTTTATAGCATCTCCAGCAATAGGGAATTGAAATTTAATGGTAAAATCACTCCGTCCCCCTAAATATAGCCTCCCCGTATCTCAGTTTGCACGTGATCATTAGGGACACAGTAGAGTTTGTTAACTTCATCTCCCAAGATTCACTATGTGCTCAGCATGCTCCAGGATAAAGCTACAGGGACTAGGAAAAAACAAACCAATAAAAAAAAAAACCCTCAAACAACTCTCCTGACCCTCACAGAAAACCTGTATGGATGAACCTTGCCTTTCCTCTGGTGTTAATTGTCCTTCTCTTGTCTCATGGCCCTCCTCACCTTTCAGCAGTTCAAGCAGCAGAAAAGGAAACGTTGGCTTTTTTTGTTGTTGTTGTTGTTCTGAAGGGCACCTCCGTAAAATGGAAAGCAGGCAGAGCTTAATTGGTAAACAGTTTTAGCCAAGGAAGCTTTTCAGAGACTTAATGTGTATCCATATGCAGCCATATATAACCATGTGTCTGCTTATACACATGCATTTTCTCTTCAGAAGGTACTTGGTCACTTACCTCTCTGTCTGTGGGTCTTTTCCTGAAGGGACCATTGAGATTAACCATGTGGAAATCATGTTTTTGTCAGCCATATCACTACCGAAAGCGGAGGACACAACTTGCCAACTAGAGAAGTGAAGTTGGAGGAACACGGTCCCATCCAGTAACTAAGCTGAGTAACTCAGTTAATATAAGAAAGACCACTTCTCTGTGCTTCTCTTGTTGCAGTTTAGACTAGACAAACAGTCTCATAGAAAAAGAGGTTCTTGCCCCTTCCTCCCCTGAGACATGGTGGCTGGGAAATCTGATATTTTCTGCTTTTTAGATTTTGAGGGGTTTTCAAATATTTTTATGTAGATTTTCAGTGGAATATGAAAACAGTATGTGATTGGAGCATAAATTGCCTAACATGGCAACTGTAGAGGATGGTATTATTATAGGAATGGGAGAATCCAATGTGAGAAACAAGTATTTTAATTTTAAATTTGCTGAGCATTTGTGTGAAAACTATCCTAAATCAAACAAGCGATGTTTTTTGTTGACTCAAGTGTAGACAGGATGGTGGAAATAGGACTGCAAAGAACGACCCTACCAACAAAGGGATCCTCAGAGAGCCACTTTGTGATGGACTCCAGCTCTGAACCATGCTGCCTGTGTGCCTGAACTGCCACCCTGAGTGGTGGGTAAGCAAGGAGATGTCTTAGCGCTGCTTTTCATGCCTATGTGGCTGCTGCCCAGATATATGACATGCTTTGGTTTTATGCCTTGAGTGTCAGCTCTCCTTCCATATATCTTAGGCTGAGGCATGAACACAGTGCAGTTAGTCAAGGACACACTTTCCTAGGGCTGCTTTTGCCTTGTGAGTACACTGGCTCACTCAGTTAGTCCCTTTTTCAGAGGCAATGTGACAGGAGTGTGACAGGCTTGGCAAGGGTGTATCTAAACTGAAGGGATTTTGCTCGTAATACACTTGGCGGTAATTCTATGAACCACTTTAAATCAAACGTCCTCCCTTATTTGCTATTTCCTTGTAAGCAAGGATCACTCCTCAGTCCTGCAACCTTCCATGGCTTTCTGAGTTTGAAAGAGTTCATGCAGTCCCACTGTGGCCCTAGGGCCTAGCTGCTTGGATCTGCTGCTTGCTGAAGCCTTCGAACTCCCTCCAGGTCCAGTTGCTTGCACGAAAGGGGTTTTCCCTGCCTCCTTCACCAAGCCCCGCCTGACCAAAGCACAGCAGGAGAAATATGAAAATAGAAGGGCAGCCCTCCTCCATGCTGCTCAGTAACAAAGCATATAGCTCCGTCTCAGTAAATTGAGAACAAACAGTCCTTCCAGCCCAGCTTACTAGTAACCCCTTTCTTCTCAAGCAATAGTTTAGATGCTGATTTCTGCCATTGAAATTTTTACATTATGCTTCTGCATTCTTATTTTGTTGTTTGGTGACTGCAGATCAGTGAGTGAACTACAAATATGCTTCAGACGAGTCTTGATGAGTAGAGTCACTGAGAAGTATTATCTGTCTGAGGGACATTACAATGTACTTTCATGTTAGAATGTGAGACGGTTTCCTGCATGATTGCATTTTTCACTGGCCTTGGCCTCAACATTTAGAAAGTAGCAAATATTTGGTCAAACAAGCAAACAAAAATTCCTATGTGCAAGCATGACATCACTGCCACTTTATTAAGGAATTCACAGAGCTTTCTCCATCCTGCAGATGCAGGAGAGAGCCATGATATGACCATGGTAACATTTGAAGTAGGAGCAATTCTGCCTTTTGGTGTTCAAAGGAGATTGTGAGTCTCTAATTCTTGGAGTCATACAAGCCACAGAGTCCTAAGGAAGAACACTGGAAGAGCTCTGGTATATTCACTGTTTGCTAGTTACTCCACTGGTACCACCTGCTGCTGGTGCTTGCTGTCACATTTCAGTGCAGGAAAAAACTTCATGCATGATTTTCTTCGATGATAATTATCCTGAAAAAACAGGTCAATCTGCTGTGTTCTCATTCCCTGTAGATCACTCTCATACCTCTCGCCAACTTCTTCAGAGCCATCTCTTTTCTCAGTTTGATTATCTTCTGGTGCAGCTGAGCTATTGTTATGGCTCTATTTTTAGATTCTGGTGATCCCTACTGCTCTTCGTCCTGAGTGCTTTGTCAGCAGGGCCAGCACTAAATCTGAGACACTTTCCCTGACCCACACAGGAACGGTGATGTTAAGAAAATTTCCACTATACTCTAGTTTTCTGCAGACAAAACATGCCCTGCAAGCAGAACGTCTTATCTGACCTTGCCTTAGCTCCTGTTTTTCGAACATAGTTGAAGAACTGCAAAGAAACCAGTCTAATCCAACCAGCTGTACAAAAGTTGTTCAAAGGTAACGCCACAAGAGGTGCAAATCAGGTCCATGAGATGGACCGTTTAAGGCTGGAAGGGAACTATTTCATGCTGCAACGTGGCAAGGGCATTGGTAAAACTAAGAATCTTAGATAGATCTGATTGGTTATGTAAACTAAAGTATTGAATATGTAATACCTTACCTTGGCTTAAAAACTGTAACAAAAAGCTACTCGGGATCCCTTCTTGTGCTTTCAGCCAAGAAGCATCTTATTACTAGCAATAAAAATTAGCAGCTTAGAAATCTGACTCTTGCTGCTCATTACCAGTGCCCACAAACAAGCAAAAGAGAAAAGATAATTTTAACAGTGGAGATTTTATGCACAGATTTACAGTGTAGGATCATCTCACTTTTGGTGGGCAATCACATTTTAGCCCTGCAGGGATCTGGTATCCACTATGTTTTTTAACAGAGGAGGTCTTTAACAGAGTAAGGTTTATACACACACCTTTGAGGTTGTCCAGTCAATCATATCTGTTATACATGGGCATGAGTGTGATTGCACTTGCCAGCAGGATCCAAAATGTAAATACGTGCTAACCTGCACTTGTGGCCAGCGTGTGGCAATACTTAGAAGTGTCTCCTTGCACATAAGCAGGACAGTAGGTGTGTGAGTGTATATGCATATGTCTGTGAGATACAGGCCCCGTCTGTGATCACACCTGCCACTGAGGCAGGACTCATGTCACCTAATAGTAGCTACCTGAAAGCCAGACATTTAGTGGGAGCAAGTTATCCAGACTTCTATAGTGTGAAAATGCAAACTCCTCTAGAGAGTGATCCATCCAGTCTTGGACATCCAACTTAGGAAAGAGTGCTAAGCTTGGCAAGGTGGCTCTAAAGGGAGCCAATCAGACTTGCTTAGACTAGATATTTAAGGCAGCAAAAGATAAGTGAGACAAATCCTACCCAATATTCCTACAAGAAGACAAGGGTAAGATTCTAGCCTGGACCTCTTGCTTATGTCTTTCCTTCTGACATTTTTGGGAGAGCTGAAATGTTTGCAGCTTTTTCACACATATTTTGTGTTGTTGAGGATCCACAGCAAGACGCAGTTGCTACTTTGTCAAATCCAATGACAGTGCAGAAATAATCGATCACATTTCCTGATATTTCAAATCTGAACAGGGAGAGAAATTCAGATTTAGTTGCATTCCTGATTCAGCTTGATGAAAAGAGACTGTTGCAAGACAATCAATGTCACTTTCATGAAAGACAGAGAGGTACCTGGCCTTACTACTAAGGCATGTCATTGTCTGTGGGGCTGGAGGTTGCCTCACCGGACACTCCCCCTCTCATTCCTTAATTTTCTTCCCCAATCCTCAACAGAGATATCTAGGCTATGCTTTCTCATCCAAAGACCTTCCTTTCTCTGGTACCCTCCATTTATTGGTGCTGAGACTGGACAGTCTCTCCTCTCTGTCTGTATATCCTTTCCCTCCCCACCAGAAGTCCATCTAGGCAGAGGATTCCTTCCCCAGCAGAACTACAGCTAAGATGTGTCCTCCCATCCCCTTCTGATTTGACATGCCAGTATTCCCATGTGCCCCGCTCATGTGCTCCCTTGAACGGTCATAGGGCACTACTGTGGCACCTGAATCTCAAGGAATCAAGTTGCTACAACTTGCAGTCCCTGATTTTGTTTGTACTCCCCAGTAGGCTCTGTTGTTTGCCCTGGAGTCTTTGTGACTGTTTCCAGATGTTTGTCACAGAAATTTGCTGAAGTAAACTTACATGTCTGTGCGGTGCTCTGCATTGTTAATCCACCTCCACTTCTTCTCTCTGTTGGAATACTTGAGACTAAGTAAATAGTAATGACCTTTTGACTGTGAAAAAAGATACTCCTAGAAAGAAAATGAACATTGATAATACATCCAAGTTACATCTTCTTCAGCCGAGGTACACAGAAAGCTTAGTGCTAAGTATCCTGCAGAAAATAAATGGTGTGCAACCAGCCATGTCATATCCTTCCACAGCTTCAAAGACTGAATTCTTCTATTTAGAAAAGTTCTTACTTAATCTCACTTCCCACTTCCTGGGGTTAGCAATGGATTAACTAGAAGACTACACCCATGGTACTGCTAAAGCAATGTAGTTATCCAGCTGTGACTCACTAGCTGGAGATTTTTATATTGTGATTGTGATGGGAAGGCTTTTTCAGTTTTGTTCAAAGCCCTTCTCTAACAAAAGTGTCTGTTTGATTTGCTTGGTCTTTGTTTGTATGTTAAATGCATTTAAAACAGAAGTCAGGTAGGAAGAGAGTTTGCTCCTTCCTTTGGGAGCACGCCTGAGGAAGAAAGTTTCCAGATGCAAGATTTCAAGCACCAAGATACATCTCATTGTGAAGGTCTTTACCATCTTACAGAGGTGCTCCGTGTGTATTACTGGCAGTGGCTTATAGGCCCCCAAAGGCATATAGCATGAGAAGACACAACTCTAACTCATAACCCTTTGGCGTAAAAGTCAAGCAATCCTATAAGCAGTCCCACGAATTTAGATCTCACCAGTTCTTCCTTGTTGTTGATGATCACCAGGTCTGAATCCATTTCCTTACATTCCTGGCGATAGGTGTTCCAGTCTTTTATGTCCCTGCTCTGAGAAAAGAAGTAGCATTTTTTCCTGTTTCTTATCCAGCCTGAAGGGCAGCCTGCAAGAGGGAAGAACAGGGGTGGAAAAATACCTATTCATCCTAATGAAAGTATTCCATTGTAAAAGAGAGATAAGAAAGTAATTTAGAGCCAGGAAACTACCCGTTCAGTACTGCTCATTAGTTAGTTAGTTAGTTAGTTAGTTAGTACTGCTCATAGTGCTGCTACCAGTTCAGTCACTGGACCAACAGGGATCCCTGGCAGTCTCTGTAGTTAATACCAGCCCAAGAGTCACTAGGGATGAGCCAGAGCAGTAAAATCAAAGATATCATAATGTAACCTTTTGAACCTTTGCTCAGGAAGTAAAGAGGAAAGGTTGGAGGAAGACACAGCTTTCAATTTTCAAACATCTTTTTTGCTTGCTGCAAAATCCAGCAATACTGATGTTATTGAGAGAAAGAACATTTCTCTCCATTGCCAGGCGGCATACAGAGGAACTGAGAATGCGACCTGCAAAGAGGAATACGGTACCATGGAAGAAGAGAGTATGTGATAGTTTAGCTGCTTATCCAGCAGCTCCTAAATAGCAAAAGGGAATTACACTTAGTTAAAATGCTAAGAATAGAGGGGCATTTGATAAAGCGGTTTGAGCACATTGATCCATCATACTCACTGTAATGCTGTGATACCAAAGGGAATGTTATATTCATGTCCACATACATGTTCACTTCAGTCATTGGCTCCTCTGCACTAGCATGGGGGGAGCAAATCAGATCTCCCTCCTCTTGAAGCAATGATGCAGTGCTGACCAAATACTAGTTTTAAAGAAGATGAAAATGTGGAAAGTCCCTGCTTGGCCTTGAGAGCTCATCATGTGATTGCACAGAATAAGGTCTTTTATTTCTGAGAAGTTAGATTTTTTGTTTGTTTGTTTGTTTGTTTTCCTGAACAGAGTCTAGAATTTCCCTAAAAAAAAAATCTTGAAAACTGGGTTTTGAGTGATAGAGGATTACCTACCTATTGTCTCTTCAGAGGTGGTGGAGAATGTTTCTGAGTGACATGGGCTGCTTGTGGTTGGAAGGACTGAAAATGAGATGGCAATTTCTGCTATGAATGGCTGACCATTTTCCTGTATCTATCAAAGTTCTCTAGATACCCTGCAGCAGGTGGGAACCTCCCTCCCATCCTCCCTCCCCCCCCACCCCAACACCTTTGCCTCGTCTTTCTGCTCCTCCACTGAAAAGAAAGAAAATCAACTGTGGTAACATACTATGGACCAGATTTCCAAAAAGCCTGATTTCCAAGTAGCCGCAAATGTGATGCATGGTATATTCATAACTAAAGCAGTAAGAATCAATAATCATCCAGGAGAGATCAGTGCTCAAGCCAACCTGTTCTTGATTAAGCATAGTTCCACTCAGCTGGGAGCTGCTGTCACTGCTTGCTCCTACCCTAAATCCAAATGGGGTGAGATACTCAGGTGGAGCAAACCTGCGCCTCATCTGGAAGCTGATCTAACACTGTGGCTCCCCTAGACCGGAATGAAACAATGGTGTTCAATATACATTTTAATACAGATGCCAAGGCCAAAATAGATTTGATTTACCTCTTTCTTCCAACATAGTGGCTTTGGGAGATTCTTGTTCTTCAGAAGGCTTCTGGCTCCTTAAAACTGAAAAATATAAGACTACAGTCTGTGAATGTCACTTTAGAACATTAATGCAAATGCTCAACAGGAGGCAGCTATCTCTTCTTATTGACCAGTATGAGAGCAAGCATCCAAAAAGGGGACTGTAGAGAGAGGCTTATTGCCTTGTTCTTATTATCCAATGACTAGCTAGAATGCATGAATCTATCAAGGAAAAAATGAAAAAAAGACGTTTTCAGAAGGGTGAAGAAAGTGACTGAGGCCTCAGATGGGCTAAATTTGTGCTTAGATTACTGAACAGGGTCATGTGATTTTTGTGTATTTTTCATGACAACTTAGGCCTTTGGTTTTATCAGTGTTGGAAACCCCCAAGAGTTTTGACCATCCTGAAAGCCTGGAGTTCAGAGATCACTCAGAGTTATTAAATTGTCCAGAACTAAGTACAAGGATGCATTTTTGAGATTATTTTCAGTTGAACAATGAATAGATGAATAATAGCTGCAAGGAAACAATACAGTAAAACTTTTAGGGGTAGAATTCGTACACTTGAAACCAGAGTAGATAAATTACTTTAAACAAATAAACAAAAAAAAATGAGAAGAAAGCTTTCTTAAAGAAAGCTTTAAGAAGCTTGTACCAGAACACCATGGAGCATGATAGAACTCACATCTCTGCAAACTTCATACTCCAGAAAAATAATAAATAAAATATAATAATAAAGGGAGGACTTGCTTAAAGCAGTAAGCTTAAAAGGAAGATGAGGGAGAAGGAGCGGAGCGGCAGTTAGGTGAACAGAAACCCATCCTTTTCTGGGCATTGAAAATTGGTAGTGAGAGGATGGATTATTAGCCCGGAGCTTCCAAACTGCAGCTGTCGAGAAGGGAGGTGGCAATCCTGAGCCCTTGCTTTCTTGAGGCAGCACCACTTCCCCAGTACCTATACTCCCTTACAGGTCCAAGATCTGCAGTACAGTGGGAACAATAGCTGTGAAGATGTTTGTCCCGCTGAAATGTAGTCGTAACTAAGCCAACGAGAAGTAATTGGTGAGTATGAGAGATCAATGCCTCCGTTACAGAGAACCCCTTTTTGCCTCGTACTCACCTCTAGCAAAAAAGGGTTATTTTATCATATCTCTAGCAAAAATAGCTTGTTTTATCATAAACATAGTGTCTCCTCTTCCAATAGATGCTTTGTAGCCAAATTTTTATTGACAAAAATCCTCAGGAGTGTTTGTGTCTTTATCGAAGATCTTTTCAGAAAATAACAGTGGAGAAAGGTATTTATTTCCCTAAGAAACAAGGAATACTAGCAAGGCAAGGTTTTAAGGAAAGAAAATACTTTTTACTCGACTAACTTTTACATCTTGTGAAAAATCAACCTGATCATCTTTTAACATGTGGGGATTTTTTTTAACAACTCCATCTCAAGTAAGTCTTTTTAGCCAAAATGGGATAACTTTTAGCCCTATGGCAGTCACAAAGGGAAAAAAAAAGGTGGTATCATAAAACATATCACTTCTCCCCACAAATCTTGATTCAGTTATGTCTGAAGATAGAGCATGATGATTTTAGAAATATTGCTACCAAAAATGTCGAGAACAGTTTCAAGGACTATCAGAGACTCCAAACTGAACAGTGACTTAAATGAATCCTAATTTCTGTATAAGGAATTAATCAACTCCTTCACTAAGCCTAGAGCCACATAGTGATACCAGACAGTGATCATCAGTGAGTAAAAGGAAATAATTGAGGTATAACAGTATTATTTTGAGAAATAATTTGAGAAATAATTGTATTTACTTTCCCACACAACAGAGCCACTGGACCAAATTCCTCTGTTCTGTAGTTGTGGACTCTGGCATTGGAAAAATCATTTTTAGAGAAACAGAGGTCTAATTTAACAGCTACTATAACAATATTGTCATAGTACTCTTTTACAAATGGTTGAAGTACGGACTGCAAAAGCCACTGAAGACTAGGAAAGCACTCTGCCTGGGGAGTTGTACTTATGTACATTTCTTTCCCTGATAACAAGCAAGAACTCAACTTTTAGAGTGGTGAGAAGGAAGTTTCACTGTCACACCTATAACATTGGTCTGAATATCTTAAAGGAGATTTCAGAATTTCACAGGGCTGATGGTCCCCCACATTTGGGGCCTAAACTTACAGCAAATGCTGACAGTGCATGATACTATTTCTACGCTATAATTTGCAGTTCAGGAAGACATCAAAAGGAGGTCAATGGAAGTATAACTTTACTGAGACTGAATTATATGATGTACTCTGTTCCTTTTAGGGATGAACTACTGATATCTTAGTATAGGAGAAACTGTTTTTTAGATATCAGTATCAAAACCTCAAGGAAAGACACATGTCTGAATATTTGAAAATAAAGTTTCTTAAAGCTCTAGTGTATAAAATTAGATCCAAGCTTATATACAATGAGATATATGATAAAATATATGTTTTAGAGTACTCAGAGTATAGAATATTAAAATAGATAACTTAATCATCACAGAAATAATAAGGATCAGGAAGATGAGAAGCAACCATATGTTTAGAAGAAGGGGAAAAAGAATTCACTCTTCAGGAAAAGTTCTCAAAAATGTAATATGAACAAATATAAAGGACTATTTTATTTTAGTGGATGAAGATGCTATTTTCGCATTACACCCTGCGCCCTCAGGTGTACACTCGAAGTACTATTTGTACAGATTCCCTGAATTCCCTAATATACAATATTCATGATACCTAGTATAATTTTAAAGCATATATTTCTGTGAAAAGCATACTGGTATGCATTACGAAAACAAACAGCACTCCACGAGTTCTACCAGATGGAAATCAGTTTACAACACACAAATGGGGGCTTGAGATTTTCTCATAAGATATTGACATCTACACCTGAAATATGCCTGAGAGATTCGGAGAGCAACATTACTGAAGGCATTTCAAAGGTGCTGAAACCTAGCAAAGCAACAATATCGATTTTCTAATTTGAACAACCTAACACTGTGTCCTTTATGCTGCTTTATTGATATGCTAATTGGAAACATCAAGGCTTTCTTTGCCTTTCACTTAATCCCTAGAGTAACAGTGAAAAATAAAACAAAAAGGTCAGTTGAAAATTATGTCTTTTTCATGCATGTATTTATATACATGTGTGTCTCTTCATACTGGATATCATCTCCTGGTTTCAGAAAAGAGCAATAGGAAGGCAAAAGTTAATTCAAGTAACTTTTGAATCAAAGTTTAACCTACCTATTCTTGAAAGACTAGAACATGAATTACAAAGACAATTTTTTTATTTACAAACAGAGTAATTTTCTCTCAAGAAGAAAGAAAATAATCTTACACTACTATAAACTTTATAAAAATACCTGGTCAAGTTGAACTGACTAAAACTGCTGTCCCATTCATCAACAGAAATGAAAAATTCATTCTGTCCTAAATTTCCCTGCAGAGCTCTAGTATGATGGAGTAATATCAAGAGGTGACAGTTTAGTTTATTTAAACAATTTGTTTCTTTTATGACTGTTTATTTGGCAAAACAAAATCAAAAGGCAACTTCATATAAAATTAAAACTTAGAAATAAATAAACAGTCAAAATGACAACAGTTTTCACTTGAAGTACAAATTCTTTCTTTAAATGTACTTCTATTGAGATTAAAAAACCAATTTGATCTGATTTGTCCCAGTAACTCAAGTTTCTTAGGGGTATTTTTTTGGTACATTGAGGCAGGAATGAAAGGAAGCGAGGTCTGAATACTAATCTAATGATTATACTAATCTAATGATTAGTATCTAATACTAATCTAGTCTAATGAATACTTATTCAACTCCTGATTTAAAACTCTATTAAATGCTTGTGATTTAGGCGTGCTACGTTGAGAGTTTTTTGAATTGTGGCTTTCTTGAGGTATTTTACTTTTTATAAGAGTAAGAGCACTATCAGACATCTATCCTTTACTCTGTGCCTTAAACAAATAATCTTTGACTACTCCCCCAACTCTCTCTTTTTTAAGTTCTAGTCATTTCATGGATCCAGGTTTATAGCAGGTCTTCATAAAGAGTTTTTCCAAGTGCATCTCAAAACATATAACCATACCTGATATTTAAAAATGATTCCTTGAACTTATACAAAGGAAGGTACTGTGTGGCCCTTTTAAAATTTGTTCTGTCTAATGGACATCAGAGATAAAAATATTTTCTTTTTTAAAAAATATATCTTTTTACTTAGTTCAAAGATTGTTATGAACTCAATCATATATATGCAGAGAGGGTAGTACTAGGCCTTTACTAGAGTAAAATGCAAACAAATTCCTTTAGGTTGTGACTTAGCTACCTCTTTCAAATGTGCTTTCCTTCACATTTAATTAGAGATTTTTGGTGTTATGGACCTCTTGGTGATATAATATAAGATCATCTCTTTCAAATACTTTCATGGATAATAATTATAGTACTAATAGATATTATCCTCTTTTTACTTGTTTTTTCCAAAACATTTGTATAACTAATGACTTATGGTTTTAATGTTGTCAATCTGATCATTGAGTTTTTGGCTTTTTTCTTTGTAGTTTTAAAATTTCACACCATTCAACTCCTTTAGAGATTCCCTCTCATGGCTGCAGTTAGCTAAAAACTACTTCACTTTGCCTTCAAACTAGCCTTCTATTGCTATTGGTTTTGGATGTCATGACTTAGATCTTAGTTACTGGGTGAGAGTCACAAACGAATTGCGCTACTGATATTTTTAGCAGAACTTACACATCAGTATCAGCCCCAAACCTAAGACCAGGAGGAAGAGGACTATCATAGCAATCAATACAGCAACACATGTTCTGGAGCAACAGCTTTTACCTGCAGACAGACAGAAAAGATAAATTTTAGGGCAACAACTAAGAAAGGAACTCTATGTCTTCCAAGTTTAAGAAAAGACTCCCCTCATGTTTCCTCATCAGGCTCAAACTGAAAGAACCCTTCCAGGTTATGCAAAACCCCTCAGTGCTGTCCCTCCTAATGCTTGTTCTTCTTGTGATACAATGCAGACGCATTTTTTTTTTCAGGACAGGTGTTCAACCATTCTGCCACTGCCTAGAATACTTTGTTAAATTCTGCTGTACTTAATACTAGAGTATTGCTCTCTAGGCTACTTATCCACACTCTCTGTGGAATACTGTGGAAGCAAAACCAAGTCAGCCTGCTAGATAAAAGTACTGTCACATGATACTGCACAACATAGCTTATTTTCCAGAGCAATTGAACTTTCTTTTTTTTTTTTTTTTTTTTCTCCCTCCTCTTTTGACTCTCCCTTACGGATTTTCTGATTTTCTGTTCAGGATTTACTTCAAGAAGATCCTTGAATTATTCATTAGTCTGCCACCTCAGTGGATACTGGCTGGGTGCTGTAGAGCACTGGCAGTTCCAAGAAGGACATATAAAATACTCAGTGGCTGACTGGACTTATCAGAGATTGAATTAGAAGGTAAAGGAAAGCTTTCCTGCTTTACATTTCTGCTAGAGTATTTACTTACCCCTTCTGCTGTCTTTGCTGTTCATGATCTCTGCTTGACCAGTGGGACCTGAAGCACAAATTGAGGTTATTCCTGATATTACCCCTAGCTCTATAAAGTAAATTGTTTTACATAAAGGAGGAGGCCATCCTTAATCTTCATCCTAACTGCAATCAGTGTGTAGTCTGTCCTGTGTGCTTGCTTGTCTGGTAACCTCATTTTCACTCCTACCTTTCATTGCTAATTAAATTAGCAAAATACTAAGAAGTTGTCATCCTTGGTATTGTATTAAACTAGACCAATTTTAAACCAGTCTTTGCAAGGAAGGGTGAAGAAAGTGCAGAGAAACACTGTCCTATCAGGTTTTCTCCCTGAAGAGGTTTGGTCAGCAAGTGATTCCACTCTGAAAATGTTTTGATTCCACTATTTCATATATGCAGGAAAAGCAACATGTTGATTTTACTGATATAACGTCGCTACCAACAAGACTGGGAAGTGTAGAGAGAAGTTTTGGTGGCAAAATGGAAGCTTGTAGAAAGAAAGTTGATGACCAGGAATTCTGAGGCAGCAATTCCTGAAAGATCCCCAGAGTCCCACACAGGACTGGAGGGAGAACTGATAAGGTAGTATTTTAATGTCTTGCTGAGAAGATGCGGTAAGGAGCCCGGTTTCTGATTCTTCAGCAATTTGGGACTCTTCCAGGGCAAAGTGCCCAAACAGGACACTTGATCTTGACTAGGAACAGACTTCCTCTTAATGAAAAGGGAGCCAAGGTGCTGCATCTAAAATCTGGAAGGCTTTTAGTAACTTTTAAAAAAAAGAAGTGAAAAAAAAAGAGCGGTATAGTGTGATGTTACCTTGTAAGATGTATCCTCAAGAGAAGGAGAGATCAGAGAATGAAAATAGTCACGTAGAAAATGGAAAACAGACCGTCATTTTAAAAGAGTGTTAAGAAGGAAACCAAAGCTATGGAACACCTGCTTCTATGCTTGTAGCAGAAATCAGACAATTAAGATGGGAAGACCTGGAATATCCAGCCTTAGGCTAAGACACTCAGGGCTCAGGTGCCTAAAAATGGCTATCTGGTGTTATCTGAGATGCCCTCAGGTATCTGAGATAGCTGCACGAGTCTGGCAAGTGTCACACAGGACCTACAGCAAATTTGCATCCTGAAGCCAGACAGAACATCCGAACACTTTACAAATGACCCCGGCCACCTGTGGTTCAGTAACTGAATAGCACCCAAACATACTAGGTAGTCTGGGAAGTGGATGAGAGGGAAGGAGTCCTCATACTACCGGAATAAAATAGGTACAGGGTAGATGGAGTGCTAATGGGTAAAAGAGGGCAATTTCATAAAGGAGAAGAAGCTTATTAAAAAGAAGCTAAATAGGACTGCTAAGAGAGAATGAAATCCTTAGAGGATATCTTACTTAAGGATATCATCCCAGCCACACATGGCTAATACAAGCCACTTACTAAGAAAGGTTTAAGAACAGGTGAAAGAAAGCTGACAGAGCTATCAGGAACAGATCATTAGGAGTAAGAAGGCATCTCTCCAAAGCTATCAAATGAAGAAAATAGAAAGTACCAGAAATCTTGGGAGATTAAAGATTAAATACTAAAAAAATAAAAACAAAACAAAACAAAAAATTAGATCCAAGAAAATCTAAGAAGTAAAAGGCATCAGAATTACCACTAAACCTGTCTTCAAACATATTAAGAGCAAGGTGCCTTACTGGAGATCTATAAGCCAGTGAATGATCAGGGTATCTAGGAAGCACTCAGAAGATAAAGGCCATAGCAGAGAAGCCAAAGCAATCTTTCGTACCAGTGCTGACTGAATAAGAACTGAGTAGATCTCCCATTTTAGGACATGAATTACTAATGCTGTTTTGTAATCTCTCTCTTAAAGCTCTCTTTGCACCCACGGACTAGAAGGAAGCGCATCTGATGTGAATTAAACATAAATAGATAAACAAGGCTCCAGAGGAGATCTATGAGCTTCAGGACTGTTATCCTGATGGCTGTACCAGGAAACACGGTGGGAACTACAACAAAACATGGAATTAGTGAATGAATATGGTGAAGCTGGAAGATTCAGGCGGGCTTTTGTATGGGAAGTCTTTCCTACAACTGCTTTGAATTCTCTGGAGGAGTGAACTAGCACATGAACTAAGGGGATTTCAAATAGCTTTTGATAATGTCCTTCAGCAGAGGCACATGCGCCATGGGAAAGGGGGAAGGTCCTGGCATGGATAAATAATTGGTTAAAAACTAGGGAGCAGAGAGAAGGATTCAATCATCAGTTCTGGTAACAGAAGAAAGTCACCAGAGGAATTTCCCAGGGGCCTGTGCTGTGATCTGCTACTCAGCTGGTTCCTGAACACTTTGGAATGGGCTCTGCAGCACTGTGAGGATTTGCTGATGACATATGGATATCCAAGGTGCCAAATACAAAAACAGATTTCCCAGAATTCCATAATTTCTTGGCAGACTGAGCAGCTGGGCTACACAATAGCAGATGAGGTTCGGTGGAGGCAGATATACACAAGCTACATGAATAGGAGTTGAGATCAGCAGACCCAACTGCACATACAAAATGATGGGCTCTGAGATGACCTGACAGTGGATTCTTTGGACTCATGAAAATATCAGCTCAGTGCTCCATAATGGTCAAAAAAACCAAGTCACATGTTAAGAATCATTCAGAAATGGACAAAAATCACGGATAGTCAGTCTGCCACTTGAATACTGCATGCAATTCTGCTACCCTTGTTTCAAAGAGCCTATGGGAAAAGGTTCAGAGGAAGGAAGCAAGGAATAACTGGGTAGACTAGGGCTCTTCAGTCTGGTAAAGAGATGACTGAGAAGAGGCTGTGCATAAAATCCTTAGTGTAATGGAGACCTTGGATAGAGTTAGCTGCTTATGCTCTCTTCCAGTGAGCATCAAATGAAACTAATAGGAGGCCATCTCAGAACAAAACAAAAGCAGCTGGTTCTTCATGTGATGTGTAGCAGAACTGTAAACCCCCTTGCCAAGAGATGTTGTGGAAACTAAGGATGTATATGGACTTAAGGGAAGATTGGACAAGTTTGTAGAAGAAAAATCCACTGAGAGTAAGTTAGTAGAAACATATCAATTTCAGGAAATCCCTGAGTGGCTGGACATATGCAACAGTATTAGGGGGAGTATCATATATGCCTATCCTCTTCTTACTCATCTCTAGCTGTTCACTCACGCCCACTGCTGGAGATAGGTGCTAGGCTAGGTCATTGTTTAGTCCGGCCCAAAACAGCCTTGGGTTCTTATTGGCAGCGAAACCAACAAATATTTAGTTGCATATATCCAACACAACAACTGCCTCCTGCTCTGGCTAAATAAAGCAGACATCCATATCTTCTTGTCTCCTATATGTCTTTATATCAATATATTTGGGGAAAATAAGGAATGGATTCTTCTCTTTTCATTGTTTAAATTCAGGTCAATTTAGCAAATAGCTAAAAACTTACCATGCACCTTGTAGCTAGCTACAGCACTTGTGTCTAGGGATTTAACTTTCACTTCTACATATATAGAATCTAGAAACAAGCAAAAAAACAGCATAGAATAAAGAAGAGGAACAACTCAAGCGCAACAAAGCATCTGAAATGATAAGAAATGATAAACACTTGGCAGCAACTGTTGTAATTTATGTGATCGTGTTCCACTGTGCTGCAGTAGTATTGTCCATTGCATTCAAAGTTCAGCGAACCTGCTATAGGCAGTAAAAAAAATGTTTTATCTTCAGTTCAATGCAGACAATAACAGAGGAGACATGGGCCGTAAAACATGGGTGAGGCATGGGTGTAAAAAGTGAGGAGCATGATGTTGCAATTTTATAAAACAAGCAAAATCATCCTGATGCATAGCATTGAGCCCCTTCTTTCCTATCACTAGAGTTAACATCCTCTGTTAGCTTGAATGCATTCTCCTGGCGTATGGAAGGAATTTCATTCCTTTGAAAATATTTGCATTTGATCCCAGGGAATCCAGTATCAGAGACAAAATAGCAAACTGGAGGAAAAAGAAAAGAAGACAGAAGCCAGAATTTGGCTCCTTGATATGATATGTATACTCACTGGGAGATATAGTGCACAGATACATAAATGCACACAGGAAAAGATCTGATAAGAGTGTTCCAGAAAGGCACAAATAGAGAAATAGAAAAATGCTATTAAAAATTGCATAAAAGCTGTAAGTAGGTGTACATTGGTTAAATTATAAAGAAAATGGAAATTTTAGTCTGTAGCATCTATTGCAGCTGCAAGACAATTTAGTGGAGTAATCTGTTAAAAGAGGTGATGGAAACTATGTTTCTTGGGACAGTAGAAACCCAAACTCAAATTAGATGGCAAGGGATCACACTTTATACAGAAGAAAGGCACAGGATGGCAAGCAATGGGTACTACTATTTCTGTCAAAGAGTTAGGAAGGTTAACAAGAAAAGGAAGGAAAAAGAGAAAGAAACACAGAGATAGGGTATACAATGTCCATTATTTTGGGATGTAATTTTATGCAGGTGTAGGAAAAATGGTGCAAAAGTTTATGGAACAATTTCTACTGCTTTAAAGCAAGGCAAGGCTTAGGTCAGAATTTTGTAAAATCATTTATACTAAATCAAACTAAATCTGTCCATGAAACTTTGTATGCTAGATTTATTAAATGAGTAGTGTGTTCAGACAAGACCAACAAGAAAAAACCCTCAAGTAATGCCTGCTATACTCAGTAAGAAGAACGAGGTTACAAATAACGCTACTTCAAACCACAAAAACGTTTAGAACTCAAAGCCATTATCAGCTTACTGTAAGAATCAGTGTCTGCTGTATGAGGACATGCTTGGTTCAGATTCAAATGGTGTGGAGTAATCTGCTAAATTTTTAGAATTCACTCTTAATCTCACCAAAGACCGCCCTCCCCTCCACCCGCCTTCACCGCACACACTTGAACCTTAACAAACAAATAGTAGATATTATAACAATCCCCTCTATATTAGCAGAAAAGGTTACATGGACATTTACCAGCACATTTTTCACAGCTCTCTTCCCCACATCTCCTTCATCCTTTCGGGGTATTTGGTGCTCCACAGCACATCCAGTCTCTCAAAATGTATAGGAGGGAAGCTGAAGAACACAAAACTCAGTACAGACAAATTGACCTACCTGGGACATGAGTGTCCTCCTGTAATCTGGGCGTGTTTAATTCAGCCACATTCAAGTCAGCATATGTGAGATTTTCTGACATCCTTCTCCCTCCCTCTCCTCCTTTTTTTGTTCCTTGTCACTGTGAAAATGGTAGTGTTGCCTGAGAATGACTCGTAGTTTGCTCGCCTCTCTGCCCTCAAGACGGAAGTTCTAACTCTTTCTGTTCGCTATATAGAAACCAGCAATGAGAGGGGAAGCCTTGTTGTTATTGATCTTTTGATGGCATCTTGTTAAATGGAAGGTTGTGTCGCTGATGTGGTCACCTTTATAGAGAAGTGATTCTAGCATTATTAGTATTTTTGGTTTCTAAATCTCTCCTCGTACATTTTAAAAGGGCAGACTTTATTACATAAAATGTGAAGAAAAAAAGGTACAGTGATTCAGAATTCAGAGCCAGGAAGCAGGGTAAAGTCCTCAGTGTAAAGCTCACAGCACATCACAAGGACCAGGCATTTGAAAGCACAACTGAAAACCCTAGGTTTAGTTTTTGCCCTGAAGGCAAATGGATCTGCCTGGAGAAACCTCCTGTTTTCATTAAGTACAAGGGAGGATGCATGTGGAACTGTGGGGATTCAGTAACACTAGCCTTGCCATGACTTGGCTATGCCATGAATGAGAAGAAATGTGATATATTCCCATAAGAATTTAAAAGGGAAATTATTCAGTGAGAATTAAGATCATGTTACTAACCACAACATAGTGGTCTTGGTAATACGTGTTTTATCTGGGATACAGCTCTGCATGCCTAGAGGCATGGATTCTCTTTGTGAGCTTGCCTTCAAGGCAAATAATTTTTTCTGTCCATGCTTCAGTTTCAGTTAAGTCTATTAATAACTAATAAATGCTCACCAGCCTGATGAGGAAGGAATCCACTCTGTGTGGTTAGTTATCCTCCTAAGCACTCTAATTCATGATGCTTACCTTTAAGTTCAAGGGAGTTTTTACATGGTGTACTAATTATTGTCAAAATAAACACAGACTATGCCTTGTGGAATGTGGGGAGAGAATGTGTTGAAAAGTACCATCATGAAACTTGAAATTTGGATGAGTCATTATGGTGGTACAGAGCACAAGTATCATCATATTTGCTCTCCTCATTCTCATGAATACATTAAAAAAAAGCACCAAAATTGTTCAGGTTTTGTAAAACTGTTAATTCATAAAATTGATATATGACAGAAAAAAATGAATTTAGTGGCATTTGTGCCAGAGTGAGATGTCCGCAAGGAATGTCTGCTTATCCAATGATATGTAAGATGGAATTTTGTGATGATCTTCACAGACAAAATGTGACTCCACAGGAGAACTCACACAAAATAGTGCTCTGCATCAGCAGTCAACACAGAGATCATTTGTATTTTTAACAGTCATGGATGTCATTAATAGAAGCCTATGAAGGGAGTTGCCTTGCAATAATCTGTTCACTGATCATTGAGTGGTACTCATGGAGACGCCCATCTGACTTGCAGTGATTGTCATTAAGATTGAAACCTTCCTAACAAATAGAGTCAAACCTCATAAGAGCTATCACAGAAGATTTTTGGAAAGGCAAGGAATCAAACTGACTAGATCATTAATGGATAAGGATAGCTGCTCTTGGTGAGTTCCAGCATTTCACTAAAACTCTCTGAGGCAAATATGGGGAGGTGACAGTAGCTTATATGATAACGAAAACTGAATAAAATACAAAAATGTGCAAATCTGTAATCCTCTCCATCTCAATGTACAGATGAGAGGTTACATCAGCCACAATATGCCCTTTCATAAAAAAGGAAGTACTGATGAGGCCTTGACCCATCTTCATTTCATCCTGAACTTCATTCAGAGCCATTCTGATCTCCATTTTGGGACATAAAATGAGGAAGTAAAGACGTGAAGACAGGTTGTGCCAATTTAAGGAGAGGGAGTTAAAACATACCACATATGAGTATGTACTGTGAAAATCTAAGACTTATTCTGGGAGGATGGTTCTTGAAATGGCTATTAAAGACAGACCATGAAGAGGAGGATGAAAAACATGGTGCAAAGAGAGAGAGATCTGTTTTCATGATAGGCTGGCACACAGCTGCGATTAACAGAAGTCTGGCAAGGTTACTAAATCAAGCAGAAAGCTTGGTTTTAAAGAACATCGTTAATTTTTTCTTGTGGTTTAGCCCTTTCTTCCCTATGTGCTCTACTTTGGTAATTAATTCTACTTTTGCATTGTAATCTTCTTTGCCATCTTTGCCTTTTAAGGAGTTCTTCCTATTTTACTCGGTCCCTGCAGCTGAAAAGCTTGCACTGGTTGTATACGGTCTGTTAATATGATCTACCAATATAGAAAAACTGCTTCAGTTAATGCGGGTGCTGTTCAGAGAAAGAAGGAATTCTGTAAAATAGAAAAGTGAGAAATAGTTTTAACTGATTCGTAATTTTGTTCTCTTCTTCTGTCAGTCATGCTCTCAGGAGGTCTGAACTTACTACAGTTGCAATGGCAGCTTGCAAAACGGGATGCAGAACTCAAAAAGTAGCCGTGTTCTGCCATTCGCAGCTGGCTATGCCATGCTATAAAGCTGTTTCAGCTTTTCTGTGGAGCATCTCAGTATACATTACCAGTCTAGTGAGACTAAGGAGCTTGCTCTTTGCCCATGAAATCTTTCAGAGTCAGTTATCTCTTGGTGTCCTGAAATACTTTCACTGCCTACTTTTACTTTACTGCCTGCTTTCTGTGAATTCATTCATGTACACGACTTTTTATGTCGAACTACCAGCGTCAATGTGCAAATGAGTGCATGAGTGGGAAGTAATGCAAAATAACCAACCCAAGACCCCATTCCTCCATTCCTCAGTTCGATCTGCCTCATTATTGAGGTGTTCTTTGTCTCCTCAAGTCACAAGCTTGTGTCACCTGTTTAAAAAACACATGAAAAATGTCGAACCTTAAATGAATGCGAAAAATATGGATGTAGTGTTTTCTCTTTTGTTTCTTTCTCTCTCTCTCTCTTTTTTTTTTTTTTTAGGAAGTGTTATTTAGGAACTCAGAAGTGGTGGGAAATTCCTGACAGGACAGACACTTTTGAACTCTTGCCTTAGAAGAAGAAATGTAATGGCATGTAAAAAGGAGGATTTTTGTTAAAAAAAAATGAAATAGATTTTGCAAAGATATTATTCTTGTGTTTGATGATACATACAATAGATCTGTTTTGTGTCTTCATGGAATATTTTTTGTTCAGTTCATGCCTCTAAAAACTTCCAGAGGAACTCTAAGTTAAATATCTTGTTTAGCCATATGTTACTGCTATCACGCTATGCAATAACACTCCCATTAAGTTGAAATGAACTTTTTGGCTTTCATAGTATAGCATTATGAGTTGATAATAAAAAAACTGCGTTCTGGATGATGGTCTGCCCAGGACATATTATAAAAAACAAAACGAAACACAACATTCTTTACCACATATAGTCCAGGAGGCTTTTCACCTCCTTTCCACTTTCATGTTTTATATAAAAGAGTTCTTCTTTTAACTGGAATGTTTCTACTGAAAAAAGAACTTTTGAGAAAAATGAAGGAAAAGAAAAGAAAGTAAAAATGTGCTCTTCACAATAAACTATCAAGAATTTTTTATAATAAAACATTCGATGTGAATGGGTCTTGGTTTGTGAAGAACATTTTGATGGATTTTTTTGGTAGTCCTGTCCTGCTTTGTATAAAATCACGACAATGTTGAAGTTGGAGCAACACTGAATTTAATTTCAGAATCACAGGTCCTCAGATGTCACATTGCAAAAAAAAAAATACATGTATCATTAGAAAGGAAAACAAAAAAACCTAGCCTGATAGACTAACTGTATATTTAGGGATTCTCAAAGGGTTCTCGATCTTCACGTTTGGAGCATATCTCAGATCTACGATTTAATAAACACCCAGACATTGCCTCATTATTACATGGCAATCAGCAGGTAAGTTTTATGCCAATGACTACACGGCACTTCTTCACTCTTTGGAAATGCATACTTTGTTGCTGGATGTGGCAGGACAATTTCTAGAATCAAATGCATTCTTTGGATTAGCAATTAACGTGTTTGAATAAGTAAGGAGCCTAGTTTTCTATACCGACCTAAGTACAGGGAGTATATATATAGCTTGAGACTAGATTACTGAAACGCTAGTGAGTAAATATAGGGTAGTAGCCTATCTATGGAAGCTCTGGATTTTTTTTTTTCACTTCAGCAGCTATTAAGAGAGGCCTTTCTTTACAGCATTATAGTACATTGCTTTTCTGATTTCAGAACAAACTACACTAGAAAGTATTTTTTTTGAAACCAAAATAAATGCCAATGCCTGTTGAACCTATTTCTGCCAAAGGAAGAGAATTTTCTATTACATAAATATCTTTGTATGGCCTGATGGTTCCAGGGCCATCAGATCTGAAATACCCTGCTACCAGATGGTAACAGTAGGGACTTCTTCAGCTGGCTGTTGATCTGTGCTAGTATTCTGCCCTTTACATCCCAGGCTCAGAGGACTAGATAAGCCAAGCAAATACCAGCTGTGTGAGAGAAAGAAGAGGAAGTGAAGACATTTCTTTGGTGGTTGATGACTCAGACCTACACACTGCAGCCAAACGAAGATTTGTGGCAGCCCTCAGACCTGACAATGAGAGGTTTTCAGAAATATTGTGACAGGCAGCCCGCTCTGGAATAATTATGTCTCTGATTAGACCTGTCTCATTTTTCTGCTGTTCCTGGGAATGAAAAGAAAGAAGGAACAATAAAATCACATGTTCTGCTTTTAATTAAGGTGGGACCAACTAGACCTTGGGATAGACTGCAGGTTTTCAATGTCTTTTTGTCAATTTTCTTGCTATCTAGATACAAAATTTGTCATCTTAGAGAAAGTCATGACTTGGGTCTGCAGTCTGATAGCAGGAAAGTTCTCTGAGAGAGGAGAGGAAAATGGAATTTTGATCCTTTCTCAAATTCAAGATTTTTTCTTCCTAATTTATCTATAAGGCGAGTAGCTATCAGTTTGAAGCACTGAAATGCATTTAGAAAGATAAAAGCCAGAAAGGTGTGTTTGTGGATTTTCTGGCTTATCCTAACTCCTTTTCTATGCATATCACCTGAGGGACCTTCAGCACTATTTTCTTCCCTTGTGATAACCTTATGTCAAAAATGCCCTTCCACAGTATCACCTGTTAAGTGCTAATACATTACCAAGATACAAGAGTTTTTTTCTGTTAGTTCAAGGCTAACTGATGACGAAATTTCTGTTGGACAGTTGGTTGCAATTGCAGCCCAAGAGAAAGGACTTCATAGTTCGGGTTGCCCCTTTCAATTCCTATAGCTGTGGATAAGCTCTGAGCAAGTGGTGTCATTCAAGGTGCTGGGTGCTGGCTCTCTCTCTCAAGAGTGCTTTATTCTCAGAACCTCAGAGCTGACTCTGTTTCCCCAACCACAAACTGCTCAGCAGGAGACACTTACATTAATTGTTTTAATCATGACTACTTGATCTGCCTCCTTGGTTGCTTTCTCTGCAATTTTGATGGTCTCGTTGTCCCAGTCAACAAAGTCCATGGCCATCATTCCTTCCACTGTACTGGAGAGAAGGTAAGGGACAATGGGGAAGTGCAGAAGACAAACAGTGAGAAGATGAAGAAAATAGAAAAAAGAAAGGAAAGGGGGAAAAAAGGATAAAGAGGCTGGTAAGGTAGCACAGTTGATAAATTCCTGCAACAAGGGAGTTTAACTTGACAGATCCAGGTAGGTGACCGTATCTTCCCTATCAGCAACATCTCATTTTCATTATTTTTCCATTTACCATTTTTCATAGCTACATTTAACTCCACTCTGCTGAGAAACATTTTTGATTCCAGACTCACTCTGAGGCCTCCTGCTTCAGTATGTGTGCAATATATAAAATGTCAGGGTAGCCCATGCAACTGGAGATGTTGTTACGAGGGTAGTAGAAGAGGAATGTGAGGCACATCTCATTCATGGTGCTTGGCCCACCCTGCAAAGATACAATGATGACTCAGAGGTCTACTGAGACACAATAAGGAGAAGGATTCTTCTCATTGTGTCCCTCCTCTCCTGTGTGGTGAAAAAGATGTATCCGTTTGTTTGTCTGGGAGTTAGATACAGAGAAAATCAAAGGATCTTCCCAATGGTCTGATAAACAGGTTGTTCTGTGGTCTTTAAAATCTAAACCTACTTATTCTTTCCTTTAGGGAGACAATCATATTTGTATTTCAATCTATGGGATCCCCAAATCTGAAACTTTGCAAAACTCTACTAAAACAGCCAGGAAATCATCTGAATCATTCTGATCTATATTTAGATCAGAATTTGTCCATTTATCCCTATTTTTGGAATGAGGTCAGTCAAATCAAGCAGTATCACTCTCTGTGGATACAAAATCCGGACTCCTCTTCAGGTTGAATCTCAGTATCTTGTGCATATTTTTAATTGCAATAGCATTGTTAACTCCTCTACATGGCATTTCTCTAAAATAAGTCAGCGTGAGGCTTAGTTTAAAGTGCTACATAGTGCTACACTCTGCAAAAGAGCATAATTAAACAAATGGCTGGGATCTGAACAAGGAGAACTGAAAAGAATATACATTTTGAGAAGTCCAAATTAGATCTGGCTTAGGTCAGCTTCTGTATTTGACCTCAGCCTGTTTACTAAATCCAGTCGTTCAGCCAGTGCAGCTGCAAATTTCACTATTTGAACTTGAGTCTTTAGACAAGAGTTAGCTTATGTAATATTAAATGTAAGATTGCCTTGGGGTCTGTTCACATGCCTTTATTAGGAGGAGCTTGCTGGAGAGCTGCTCTCCAGCTATGGAGCAACTGGAGGAAGCATGCCTCAGGATGTGTTTCACTGACACAAGAAGTTTTTGCCAGAGCTGTGTTTGCTTGGAGAACAGAGACTTATTTGCCCAAAAGATTTTAATGGGGATAAATTAATTTGATATGCAATGAATAATTTGGAGGTAGAAAAGCAAACTTACGAAAGTAATCCCTGACCGATCCAGTGTCTGAAAGCTACATTCCACCAGGATCTCATCCCCCTAGGGAACACAGTAGGTCACACTGTCAGAGCTGTACAGGCAAAGCACACAAAACAACCACTTCCAACATGTGGAACCAGGAAGTTATGTGAAAACAATAGGCCAAAATCTAAATTAGAGTGAAGGAAAAAGTGTGTCAATGTGTTCTGATATCTTTAACACTAACCATTTCCCCAGTCTCCCAGCCCACAGCTATATCCCAGAAGAGGAACATACTGGTTTGATTGTGACGATTTCCTTCGTGTCCCGAATCTCCTGCAATGTGAAATCATACTTATTGTCCTCACAGATGATCCCCAGCTGCTCACCATTCCTGGAAAAAGATGAAGAAGGGGAGAAAGTTACAGTGTTTGCATGGAGGGGTATGGAATAACTGGTTCCTGGAAGAAATAAATAGAAACCAGAAAAATCTACTCCAGAAATCATGCCTGATTTCTTTTCTGCCATAATGCATGGAATGTATTTCTAGTGACCCATCAGCCCCAAAGCACACACTTTAAAATTCACACCCAACTCTCTTTGGCCTGGAATCCAGATCAGAACTTTTTACATCATACTAATTATTGTGCCTTGAAACTTTGGCCTTTTGGAAGACAGTCTAGGATTCCGTAAGTAAGAACTCCAATACTTGCACTACAACCCCCTCCCCCTCCAGAAAGACTCTCAAGCTCTAGCCCAGTAGAGCTGGGAGACCCTTGAGGTGCACAAGTGTCAGGTGTAAATTTGTCCTTCCCACTTCTATACAGTGCTTTGCGATACTATTTCTGAGCACCACCTCTCTCAACCCTGTTACATGTTGTTAGATCTTCCCAGGTAGACCCACACTGCACATTGCAAGGAGCATCTAGGTCATCATCAGAGCAAGGCAAACAAACTCTTGTGGCACCCATGGCAAGGCCCTTCTAGTAGCTGTCACAGATTCTTCTTGCTTGCGCCAACTTTGCGACTCCTGGCAGCTCTAAGCACATGAACTGGTGGGCTTATACCATCACTCAGCTATGCCTTTTAGCAAAATTGGCCTGTGGAGGAAGGAACCTGACTTGAATACCAGACTTCACAAAAGCCTGCATTGGCATCCTCCACACTACTTTGTCAGGGCTTGTCTGAACCTTTACCTCATGGTCTGCATAGCATAAGGCAGTCCGTATACAGTTTCAGAGGCTCAGCCTCCCTGACCCTCTTGCCAGTATAACGCTATGACCTCTTCTGCTCTCCAAGGCCATGGCAAACCAGCAATCTCTGTAGAAGCCCTTCAGTATTGCCCTGCCATATGGCTGAGGGTTTTAATGCCTTTTCTTGAAAAGAGTACTAGAGCATAGCAAGGATTAAACAAATTTCAGCAGTACCTGAATGCCACAGTGGAAGTGATGGTAGAGAGATAGGGAGCATCTCAGGGAACCAAGTCAAGAAACAAGATGCTCTCTAATGTAACACACAGTTTATGTGTACTATGCAATTTGCCTGAAGAGCAGGAGCCAAAAGCTATTACTATAGTCTGGAACAAAACAGCTTTGCCTCCCTCATTCATACTGGCTGTGTGTTGGCCCATGTTGGGGTACTCTGAAACTAAGCCCCTAAAAAGGAAATAGGGCTGTGCTACTGAGGCCGAGAATGAAAGGCTCCAGAAAGAACACCGTCTAGAGAAAAACAGCCAGAGCCTACCACAGAAAGGCCCTAAATTACTAGAAATAAGACCTCAGTCTGCTCTATGCTGGTCAAACTCCAAAGCGTTTGGAAGCTCCGCTAACTGGGCAAGTGACTGAGAGCAACACAGACATTATATGTGCTACTGGGAAAAATCCCTGAAAAAATAGCCACCTCAAACTCTGCCTATTCCTGGATCATCTCTATTCAGAAGGTGTTTCAAACATTTGACCTTCTGGACTGGAGTCTGCTTGAGGGGGCTTCAGGGCATGGTCCAAGCAAGGTAAAGAGTGTTGGCAGCAGGTCGAGGGAGGTGATCCTGCCCCTCTCCTCAGCCCTGGGGAGGCCTCACCTGGAGTGCTGTGTCCAGTTCTGGGCTCCCCAGTACACGAGAGACATGGCACGCCTGGGGATGTCCAAGAGGAGGAGGCCAGCCTCTTCTCCGTGGTGCCCAGCAACAGGACAAGAGGCAACGGGCAGAAACTGAAACACAGCACGTTCCATCTGAACCTGAGGAAAAATTTCTTTCCTGTGAGGGTGAGTGAGCACTGGAGCAGGTTGCCCAGAGAGGTGGTGGAGTCTCCATCCTTGGAGATATTCAAAACCCGTCTGGATGTGATCCTGGGCAATATGCTCTAGAGGACCCTGCTGGAGCAGGGGGGTTGGACTAGATGATCTCCAGAGGTCCCTTCCAACCTCAGCCGTTCTGTGATTCTGTGATTCTGTAAAGTATATAAAAATCTTTTTCTAAGATATATGCTCATCCTAAATAAATTTAACTGTCACTGTAGTTCTCTCTAGACAGACTTGAAGTGATTCCTTGTAAAAGGCAGAATCTTCCACATTCTTCTGAAGCCCAAGAGTACCTCTTCTGATTATATCACTCCCTGCTACTTGAGGTATGTACCTGGAAGGCGCTAACTAGCAAGATGGAGGAAAGATTCAGTCCCCTTCTCTTGCTATCTAGCATAGCAATCCAAATGTCAATCCAAGGCCAATTTGGGTTGGAGATCACTAGCATTGAAACTGAGAGATGATTTTGATGCTACTAGATTTTGATTTTATTGGTGTGTCCTTTGCCCTTCTTCCAAGAAATAATCACAGATGCATGCTATTCCTGAGCTGCCACAGACAGCTATAGGGAACCTCATTCAGGGAGATGGGCTTATTCACAATGCACCTTTTGAGTTATAAAATTCTCCTGTCGTTGATCCAGTTACAGCAGGTGAAATGTGTTTCCTGAGGTTCTTGAAGCATTTTGCCTGCCTTTAGCATGTCACAGTTAGGCTGTAGAGGCTGCTGCTTTGCAGATACCACTGGCCAGAGATGGAAAAATATTCATCAGAAAATTGTGTTATTTCCATTTTCTGAGGTTGCCTTTGAAGTTGCTTCTAGTCTCTTGGCTCCATTCCTTAGCATGCCTGGGGAGTGGCTAGAGAGGCCTGCTCAAAGTGAGGCCAGTACTAAGGTAGCAGCCCTCTGCATTGCATAGTGTACTGGAAGCCAATTGCCCATGCCAAATGCGATCCCCAAGAAGCACATCCAGGATCAAGAGAGTGTGATCCGAGCTAACACTTTTTCATTCCTAAGAAGTGATCTTGGTAAAGGCCAAGACACAGTAGGCCAGAGAATGGCAGGCTGGCCTTTGTCAGACAATGAAGAATGGCAGGGACCAGTGTGTGTAAAGCCTGTTTGAGTGTAGGGTGCCCATGGGTGTTTTAGGATACCTGTGAAAGTTTATCTATAAGGGCAGCTGTGCCACTTTAGAACAATCTAGATTATTCTGAATGATATTTCATGTGTGTGCTCAGAGGCCAAACCAGACAACATCTCCCCTGCTAGACTAGATGGCTCTGCATTAGTTTTGGGGGCCAAGCACTCTCCTGTCTTCTGCAGCTTGCCCGCAATGCAATTCAGGTTCCTTCTGTGGCTACATGACAAGTCCAATGTGTGTGGAGTTTCTGCAAAGAGTCAATCAGTTTATGAGGCAGTATATGAGACGGTGCAAGGGTTTGGGGATTTGAAGTAACAGCAAAGCCATGTGAGGCCACATCTTGTGCAATGTGTTGCAGGATTTGTGTGGTTCAAGGCAAATGTTCCCATCTATGGAACCTGCAGACTATCCAAGGGAGAGTCCCAGAGGACACTGCAAGGGCCAGTCAATGGCAAAGTTTCCTCTTGCCATTCCAAATGGGATTCACATGACACCCTGGAGAGTGCACCAACAATGAAGTGCAGGTCGTCAGGGAATTTGGTCTGGAAGGTTTCACCATAAGTACTTTAACAGAATGTAGTCTCAGGCACTCATATTGCTAAATAAAATAGTGCCATGGATTGTTCTCTGGGTAAGTGGCAAATGACTAACTGCTTGCCTCAGTCTTACTGGTTGTGGTGTGATTCTTGTCTCATGCTGAGTTATTCTGAAACTAGAAACCTAATGAGGAGACAGGTCTCTTATCCACACTAGCAAACACTTGGAGCTGTGTGATGACTCTTTGGTCTAAGTTGCAATTATTTGTTATCTCTTTTTTATTTTCCAGTTCAAAGTGGCTGAAGTAGTGTTCAAATGCTATGCTGCCAACCATACATTACTGTTTTCATAGCTTGAAACTGTGCTTCATGGGCTGGGGTGTGATCAGGGGGTGCATAGCTCTGTTGAAGTCTTTAGTATGGGAGGACTGTGCAGGAAGCCAAACCTGGTGTAGTTTTGCCCATGCAGCCCATGGGAATGGGCAAAAGCAATCCCTAGGACTACGCCTGCATCCGGCTTGCAAGGCCAAGTCCGTGTAAGGGCACCTTCTAGGCGTGACCAATGTGGATAAGCAGCAGTCCAGTGCTTGAGCTCATTGCCTGGGCCTTCTTTATTTAACTGTTTAGGCATAGTCTCAGTCTCAGTCCTACTCTCCACTAAATTGACATTTCTTCCTCAAGAGGTAGCTCTTTGTACTGCAATTCAGACAGTGCTGATTCCCAGTCAAAGTCTCCTGCACTGACAGACAAATAGAGACTAGCTCAGTAACATGAACCTCAGCCACTCCAGCCCAGGAGGACTGGGCCCCAGAGCTGGCTTCTCTTACCGGTATTGGGCAACTTTCACTCCTCTGCCAGACAGGTGGGTGTGAAGCAGGTAGGCAAACACATGCAGCTCTGTAACTGGTGTCCCGTTCATCTGCAGTGCAAAATGGAGAAGGTCAGAGCCTGGCAGTCAGGGTCCAGCATCACATCTTACGCCTGCCTATGGAGTCCAAAGCCTGACGGGCATGTCTGTAAATGTCAGCTAAACAACTTTTTTGAAAAGAAGGTTCAGCCCCTTCCCTCCAGTATCCCACTAGTTCTTTAAAGGTTGCTGTGGTGATCCTTTCTGAAAATCGCTTTTCTTGCTCTAGGTACCCTGACACAGGTATCTGAGTTTGTGATATCTTATGCTGGATACTGCACGGATGTCTTGCCAGGAACTGTTCAACACAAAAAACGAAGTTAAGATACAGGAGAGCTAATAAATTAAATTTGCAGATACACAAACCATAAGAAAACCAGAAGATACTGGATAAAGCAAGAGTAGAAAGCTTAAGACTGATCAATGGACCATTAAAGGAACCATCCATGCATAACCCTGAAGCAGAGAGGATATTTGCAACTGATAAGAAGAAAAACAAGATTACCATAGCTCTCTTAGGAAGAAACAAACTTATTATGTGGTGTTCAAGGGGGATTGTGGGACTGTGTGAAACTTGTGGGATGTTTTAAGTGGGAATGTACAAAATTTATTATAGGATAAAGATCAAAGGTGGAGAAAGAGAGGAATGAAATGGGAAAATGGAGAAAGGAATAGAAAAGGTCAGTTGTTAAGCAGACTGCTGGTCAGTAAGCTTGTCTGACCAAGTCCTGTGCCTGATCACCACAGTCTATACTATCTTCCTATTCCCAACTATTTCCTGTGCAAGAGTGCTCTCTATTCTGTGTATACATGTGTGTGTGTCTGTGCATTTAGGGTGAGGCGGGGTGGTCCACTAGGAAACTTCAAGCTGTTCTAGCTTGCAAGTAGGAGGACACCAAAACCTGGAAAGACCCAAGATCCAGGGTCTGGACACAGATGCTGGAAGGATTTGTGGTCTCGGCCAGAGGTCGGAGAGTCCCGCAGGTGTAGGTATGGTAGCTCAGTAAATGAGTGTGTCTGCTCCATTAGTGAAATTTAAGCCTGATTAGCCAGAGAGGAGGAGCAAAATCGGATCATTTGTGTTGTCCACGCTTATGTGGGCACTGGTGGTGCCTATATGATGACCATACTGTTCTCCTGCTTGTGTTGGTCTGGCTGTGACTGGCTGAGACTGCTCTGTGTGTGTGTTGTGGGGTGGAGGGTAGCTGTTTCTTTGAAATTTGCCCCCAGCCTCAGCACGGACTAGGCCTGGGAAAGGAGAAAAGTGTCAGCCTCCCATCTAGTAGACCTGGAGGAGAGGAACCCCTGGGTCATGCAAGCCATCAGCCTGACTATCCTTAACAACCCCTTGGCTGTTTTTAGACAGATGTTAAATCTCTACTCTAGAGATGCCTTCTTGACCTGAGAGCTGGCACCACAACCTCCCAGCCTAACACCTGCCATCCTACACCAGTACTACATACCTATATTAGGAAAAAGGCCTCCCTTGGGGTCCTGGGAAGTCTCTGCTTCCTTTGTTTTTTTTTTTCCTTCCACTTAAATGGGGTGGAACTGGTGTTTGTGCCGTGGTTCTGACATGATCACATGGCTCTGCTAATAGATGCCCTTATAGGTGCCCTTAACCGCACCTTGCTATGCCAAACTTTGGCTCTCTTCTAAACAGTCATACTGGAGTAGGTATTCATTTTGCAACACACGGAAATGAGGCTAATATGATACCCTGCACCAAACTGATTTTGGATGTGTCTAGAGCAAGACAAAAGTCCAAAGTGGGAAAGGTCAAGAAGGATTTCATATGGCTTTCCCCACACTCACTTCATCAAACTGGCTAGTATTGCAAAGGCCGTAAGATCTGTAGGTTTCTGCTCCAGGAGGGATGAAATGTACAGGGAAAGTGAGGATGCCTGTTTGCAGAATCCCCATATCATATTTTCGTAGCTCTGGTGTGTAGTAGATTCGTACCCCTGAGCTGTCGATCAAACCTTTAAAACAAATATGAACACTCCTTCAACAGCTCTTCCAGTAACATCTCTGGCTTACACGACTTTGCTTCTCGGCTTTTGATTCATCCTGTGCAAGTCTGAATCCTCATCTTTCCCAGCACCCAGACACCTAGATATTCCCTGCTTGACTGTTAGCACCCTATATGTATTAGTTTGTCCTGTTCATATTTGTACTGAGTCCCTTGTACTTCCTGTTTTATATCTCCATCTTATCTCTATCCTCAGATAGGAGGAGGTCTTGCTGTGCTGACTCTGGATACTTCCCTGTCCTTCTTCAGGAGGGAACACTGGCTATTTATTACAACTGAGGCCTGAAGTAACAGCACATATAGTTACTGTTTCCCAAATCTGTTGTGGTCAGGTGAGATCAGCAGGGAGGCCTAAGCTCTCCTACGTTCAGTGGTATGATGCACTGTAATAGCCAGCATCAGAGTCATGCAAGGTGCAGGGTCTCACATCTTCTGGGAGTGCATCTTTACTCACAGTGCATCTAGGTCATAGTCTTAGATAGGTCCCATAAAATCACGTTACACTTTTATTTCACCTTCTGTAAAATGATAACAAATACCATGGTGGCAGCCTTCAAAATCTGTCATAGGAAGTGAGTGCTGAAGGTTACAGCAGAAGTGTAAGGTGGTATTATTATATTCTCCAAGCTCCATCCTGACCCTTGATATATCTATTTCTCCCTCAGCCGCTCTGTCCCTTCACATTCTGCTGCTCTTTTCCATTATGTCCATGTTTCCCTGACGTTCTCCCCAATGCTCCCACATACCCTCTAGTATCACAGTCCCATATATCCTTTCAAAGCAGAGGGGACAGATGTGCTCAGGTTTTCTATAAAAAGACATGTCTAACCTATGCAGGCAGAGCTATCAGAGTTTTCACAGTTTAAATCCCTTGCTGAATGGGAGCCCCGCCAGTTTCGTCTCACTGTCCTGAAGCTTGTGCTAAGCAATACACCCTAAGGAAGGATTCCATGCAGCAGCTGATAGGTATGTAGATGAGGTTTGAGATTTCAATCCTTAAGCTATTCTTTGTCAAATAACTGCCCAGTACTACCCACCTGGTAACAAGTCAAAATTGCTGTAGTGGATTTCCAGTCGGATGTACTGAGGGTCCAAAGATGTCCCTATGGAGATCGCAGCTTCATCTGGAAATTGATAGGACTTGTGGAAAGGAAACAAGAGGAATAAAATTATATTGAACAATTAGTTTTTAACTCTCCTCTGTGTTCTCATTGATTGAGAGAGAATGAAAATTTACACAAAAAAGTTTTGATTTTCTTGCATCTGTGAATATTTATTTAGATATTGTTACAAACCGGAATACTGTGGTAAATACTGCTGGAAAAAGGAAAAAATTTGAAATTTTATTTTTCCTTTATCCTTTTGATTGGTTTCATTTTTATTTTTATACTCTATTTAATATGAAATGTGTATAAAGCACATGTACACTCTTGCAGTAAACTTCATATCAGCATTGGCATTGCATAATATGAATAAAATGAGTCTAAGGGCTTCATCTAAAACTCATCTCCTTTATCTCTCCCTCCCTATCTACATGTATACTACAGAAATACAAAATATATTTTGCCCTGAAAGGCAGAATGACTATCACAAGGCAGATGCTAAAATTTGTGCAGCCCTGGCTACTAACTTGACCACTTAATCAGAAGCACCAATTGAACAGAACTTTTAATTTTATTATGCTGAAAAAGAGGCAGAGAGAGAAAAAAAAAGATAAGGCAAGTAGGTACACTTCTTCTTATATGATACTAGCACAAGGAGCATTTTCTAAAATTAATGGCAATGTTATTAAAAGGTCGAAATGAAAGCCTTACTGTGTGACATAACAAGAAACAGGAGACGGAACGAACCTTTCACACTCACCTCTCCCCCAACAGCCCAGCCCATAAGCACCTGAGAGCACAGGGCAAAATCTGGATCAGCTCCGTAGCAGTCATTTATGCCACTGGGTAACACATTGGCATTGCCACAGGCATAAACCAGAATGTGATGAACCAAAGTTATGTTGTGGGGTGTTATTACAGGTTCAAACTGTAAACAAGAAACAGAATCAAAAAAAGTTATTTTCAATCCTAAAATATTTCTTTCCTGGGCAATCAGGAAGAGCAGAGCAGCTGTTAGTTTTGCCTTTTGCTAGCAATTTCCTAGGACAGGAGCTTGGGCAAACAGATAAAGTCTGATTTGCAAGTTGGATGATAAACTGAAGATGATTGTTTATCTACTCATTTCAGTATGTATCCAGCAGAGCCCATTATCTCAGAATGGATTTCACAGAATCACAGAATGGCTGAGGTTGGAAGGGACCTCTGGAGATCATCTAGTCCAACCCCCCTGCTCCAGCAGGGTCCTCTAGAGCATATTGCCCAGGATCACGTCCAGACGGGTTTTGAATATCTCCAAGGATGGAGACTCCACCACCTCTCTGGGCAACCTGCTCCAGTGCTCACTCACCCTCACAGGAAAGAAATTTTTCCTCAGGTTCAGATGGAACGTGCTGTGTTTCAGTTTCTGCCCGTTGCCTCTTGTCCTGTTGCTGGGCACCACGGAGAA